AGGCTGCAAAGGAAAAACCTTCCTTTGCAAATGTGGCTCATATTCAAGCAGGAGATGCAGGTAAAGCTTGAATTCAAGCTGGGCTGAAAAGGGAATAAAAGAATTCAGAACAGCCTTACAGTTTTTCATTCTATAATTCTTATTAACTGTTGTTAATTCTTAATTTTAAATTGTTGTAACCTACATTGGGAACTGCTAATGAGGGGCAGGTAAATAGATAGATAGATAGATAGATAGATAGATAGATAGATAGATAGATAGATAATATCCACAGCAGTAATTAGAGGAGAAATGACCACTGGGAGGAGCACAGAGAGAGTTTTCTAGCACAAAACTTTGGCATGGAACCAGAATTGGGGGTTCGTAGTCAAAAGAGCTTCAGACTACAATTGGTTGCATGGCATGTCTCTTCAGACAATTTTTTTTAATGTATAAGTAGCCCTTCTTTCAATCAGTTTGGAAGTTCTGTGGGAAAGACATGTGTTTGTTCAGTATCCAACAGAACACAGAACTTTTACATATTCCTATGAAACACTATTACTGCACATTCTCATCTCGATTCAGCAGTCCATAATACTGTGCTCCAGGAGGTATACTGGGTCTCCTCCTTCTTTCCCCATGAATCTATCTTCAATCCTCTCTTATTTGGGGCAACATCACAAAGAAGCACCAGCTATGATGAGCTCGTAGCTTCAGCTGGGATTTGCTCCTCCTAAGCTTTGGATGCCCACCTCCCAGTTTCCGAAATTAGCCTGATGAGAAATCGGATCAAGTCAATCCAATCTTAACTAGGCTATAGGTCTGGAAAATGGATTACAGGAAGTTTCTGACATCGTAAGTAGCACAGGGGTTAAATCAAATTGGAGGGAGGGCGTCAGTTTCCTTCTTAGAGAACTAATGGCAAGATTCGATAAGAAGAAAACATCTCTGAAAAGTGCACCCATAGATTCTTTTTTGCAGAATCCCTGTTTCATAAATGACTTTAAAAAGCTTTCAGCTGAGGCCCTTTATTCTCTATTTTTAAATTTTATTTTATCCCACTTTCTTATGCCCCAATTCTGAGTGTCTCAAAAATAAACTTTTTTAAAAAAGGTGTTACTGTGTATATATGTTTGATGTCCAAAATGAATTAAAACAGTTGTTTTAGTACCACCCTACGGAGAAGCATTATTTTACAGTACTTGTTTCACTCCCAACAAATCACCATCTGTAGGCAAGGTTTGTTCTTCCTTTACTCACAGTAGTTTTTGGATCAAATCAAGCTATGATCGCTGGTTTGATGTAACACAGAGGCAGGGATCATAGGCTGCTTCCTTTGCACGGGAGCCACGTAGCGTGGAGAGGAGCAAAGTAGGCACAGTTTCACTGGTGCATGGGGTACCTCAGGGCCGGGAGCCAAATGTGGCCCTCCAAATCCCTCTGTCTGGCCCTCGGGACTCTCCTCAGGCCACACCTCTATCTCTCTAGGCCACACCCCTGACTGCCCGGTTCTGCATCTTCCTTGTGTGGTGTAGTGGTTAAGAGCGGTGGACTTGTAATCTGGTGAACCGGGTTCGCATCTCCGCTCCTCCACATGCAGCTGCTGGGTGACCTTGGGCTAGTCACACTTCTCTGAAGTCTCTCAGCCTCACCTCACAGAGTGTTTGTTGTGGGGGAGGAAGGGAAAGGAGAATGTTAGCCGCTTTGAGACTCCTTCGGGTAGTGATAAAGCGGGATATCAAATCCAAACTCTTCTTCTTGTTGTTGTTGAGTGATTTTCCTTGGCTGGAAAATTTCCATGAACTACGATGGTGTCTTTTACTTGTTTGGATGGAGGATGACAAAAGAGGTGTATAGAAACTGACTTTTGTGTTGCCTCCTTCACAGAGTGAAGAGCCACATCCACTGCTCTGACCACTTTTGCCTCTGGCCTCACCTGACACTCGAACGCGGCCCCTGGAAGGTTGTCCATGAGGGAATGTAGCCCTCAGGCGGCAAAGCCAAGTTTATGGTTTACCATGAAGTGTGGACATGGCCTTAGTATCCTTCAAGAATATCCAGCTTCTTTTGTGCTATTCCCAGGCACAGAAGAAAGAGGTCCTTTTATCCCATATGTGCCCACTCAGCCACTTTGATCAGAGGAATTGGCACTTTTATAGGTGACACATAATACCTTTACCATATCTGTAAGAACTCAGTTGTCTAGAACAGTGGCACCAACACTTTGGAACTCCCTGCCTATTGATATCAGGCAGACATCTTCACTGTGCAATCGTACCTTGGAAGTCGAACGGAATCCGTTCTGGAAGTCCGTTTGACTTCCAAAATGTTTGGAAACCAAAGCGTGGCTTCTGATTGGCTGCAGGAAGCTGCGCCGGACATCTGGCTTCTGAAAATCATTCAAAAACCAGAACACTCACTTCCAGGTTTTGATCATTCAGGAGCCGATCTGTTCGGAAGCCAAGGCGTTGGGGATCCAAGGAACGACGGTATTCTTTTTGGTGCCTGCTGAAGACATTCTTATTTAACCAAACCTACCCAGTTGTTCAGAGTTTGCATGTGTTTTATTTTAGTCTGCTCTATTGTGGTTTTAACTTTATGTTTTAATTAATGGTCGTAAATCTTTGGTGATAGTTATATTGTTTTATCATTTGTATAAATCACTTAGAGGCTTTTCCCCCTACACTGAAGCAGTACAGTGGTACCTCGGGTTACATACGCTTCATGTTACAGACTCCGCTAACCCAGAAATAGTGCTTCAGGTTAAGAACTTTGCTTCAGGATAAGAACAGAAATCGTGCTCCGGCGGCGCAGCGGCAGCAGGAAGCCCCATTAGCTAAAGTGGTGCTTCAGGTTAAGAACAGTTTCAGGTTCAGTACAGATCTCCAGAACGAATTAAGTACTTAACCCAAGGTACCACTGTATAGAAGTTGTATCTAACAACAAACAAACAAACAAACAAACAAACAAACAAACAAACAAATACAATGCCATTGGAAACATCCTATATTGTAAAAAGTTTGTTTGGTTGCAAGTGAATGAAGATGAAGAAAGTTAACATACATAATAATACTTTTAGTGACACTTTTCATAAAAGATATATTTTCTTTGATAGTAGAGGCAAGCATATTAGAATGTAGAGATATGTCAATCACACTTGTACTGCATTGATGAAAACAATGATTTTATTTTACCCACCCATGTACCAACCCCAATGCCCCTAAATGTAAGAAAGCAAACCAAGTATGTAAAACTCAGACACTAAAGAGAAGCAAAGGGTTTATAACAAAAGGCCACAGAAATATATATACATATTATTCCAACCTTGTACAGAGCGGATTTTGTCTTATGAGTCTGAAGAATAAGAAAATGGCAAATAAAATACATTCAAGGTAAGGTGAGAAAATTATTATTCAGCTGGTTTAGTTTAGCATTTGGGTCGTCTTATTGTATTACACAATTCTACCAGAATATGATATCTCTGATAGATGTAACAGAACCCCCCCCCATAATTACATACCTATGAATATTCAAAAATATTGCCTATTTGACTTTATTTCTGGTGTTTCCACATGCTTTACAAATTGAATGTGCAGCCAAAGAGTTATGTGAAAATGAAGATACTGAGTGATCATGAGAATGATTGGTCTGTTGTGTGCTTTGGGCCAGACCATTCCATGCTATTGCTATACCGCCCAGTGACTGGGGTCAACACCACCAGGCCATTGCTAAGGGCCTGAGCTTTCACTAAGGAAGCACCACCAAATTCTGATTTGGCCCCTGAGGCCTGGTGGTCCTCTCAGCACTGGCTCCCGCATGGCTGTGGGTGGCTCCTGTCATTTTAACCCCCTCCCCCAGTGTCTCTGGGGCTCCAATATAGCATCACTTGCTGGCTGGACCAGCTTTTTCAGTTGCTGGGCCTGCAGGTTATCAAGGCAAGAGGGGCACCTGTGCAGTGCCAAGTGCCCCACTAAACCTGGCACTGATCCTGGCTTGTAGTCTCTGGGAAGCTTGAATGTAATGCAGGCCACTCAAACAAATGAGTTCTTCTGTATTTGAAGGGTTTTAATAAATATAATACAATGTCACCTGTTTGCTAATGAGCACTTAGACCTAGTATTCACAATGTGCAACGGGCTCAGCAAATGGAGCCTCACCTTATTTATTCACTAATTCATCTGCAAACCTTTAGTGCAAATGTGACAGATCTGCACTGCTTATTTCACAATTAGCATCATTTCTCATCAGAACATGCTGCCCTGTCACCATCCTCATATTCAGGCCTGGGCAGACATCATGATCCAGTACTCCAAACCATGGTTTGGAAGTTTGGGAAGGTACCAAGTGTTCTCGCACTTTCTCTTCCCCCTCTCACCTCCATTGATGCACACTGAGCCACTCCATTATCAGGTTTCCACTAACCATAGTTTGTTGCGATGTCCAAAGATGGCAAACTAAGGGTAATACTTGCCTGCAAACTATGCCTTGAGACCATAGGCTTGCAAATCATTGTTTGGAGTTAGTCCTGGTTATTGCTAATCACAGTTTGCCCAAGTCAATAATTATGGCAAACCATGGTTAGAAGAAATAAGGAAAGGGAGTGGGAACTGCCACAAGAAAATGCAAGAGAGAGACAGCTACTGCAAGCGCATGATGTTATGTCACCTTTCTGATTTTTCAAACTGTAGTCTGGAGGATCATCTTAACCAGACCAAAGTTTCCTCAATGACACTAAAATTCCTAGAAAAGGGTTCCGAAGAAGGATCTACCATGTAGAGGAATCTGCCCTAAGTGAGTTGACAGAGGGAAATAGACTCAGAACACAATAGGTGTATGATGCTGCAAGTCCAGTATTCATAATATTCTGCCCTTGGTCTAGTAAGAGCCTGTACACCCTACAGTCTCATTGCATATAGTAAATAGGTTCTTTTCCTGTTTCCAATTCCATATACGCTTGGCTGTGCGTTTGGAATGTTACAAAAAGTTGGACAATCTCACTTGCGATGAAACAGTCCCCAAATGGTTTAGGTTAGCAGCAGAATATTAACATCAAGTAAAACCCTTGGAACACACAAACTCAGAATCAGAACAGACTAACCAGCCATATTCTCAAACTCTGTTCCAGCAAGTTCATCTCTTTCTCCTCAGACATAAAATAGCAGACATACACCTACAAAGAAAGCATTGTGACTCACTAATCAGTCCCTTTGTGCATCTGAGCATCAAATGACACTCAGTGTTCACTTTTGAGACTCTTCTAAGTCAGTCCCTTTTGATACCTGGACCAGCAAACAATATTTATGCATATGGTTATTTCCTAGCATGACTGGCCAGCCATGGCTCACATAGGTTAGTACCCGTGGTACTTTCAATACACATGCTTCACAGAGTTGCTGGAGAATGCTTTCGGTTAAGCAAATGATTCTAGAATGAAAGGAAGCCCTCTCCATTTGGTTACAACTGGAAATGCAACACACTGAACCACCCGCTGCCCCACACCACATCCTTCCGGTCACAGGGATTTCCTCCTCTGCTCAACAATCCATCCTCCTGGGTTCACATCCATTTGTAGCATCTTCATCACCCACTTGTCTTTTCGGGCCCCGTCAATGAATTCATCCAGAGACAGCTGCCCTAAAGAATCAAAGCAAGAGAGACATTTATCAAAGATGGAAGGGAACAAAGGAAGCATGCCCTCAAAGCTCTACCTATTCTGTACATCTGCATGCCAGCACTTGGGTCACTGCACCTCTTTGCCACCATGTGCTATCAGAGACTCTCCTGCCACCTACAACCTGCCATTTTCATTGTGGGGAGAGAAGGGAATGGGTATCCTCATGCTAGTGGGTCCCAAATGGTGCTTCTGCACTTATTCATTGTAGGAAAACAAGTTATCAGAATGTTCCAAAATAGTCGCTTCAGATTCTTACCAACCAGGACTATGAGTGTTGAGAGCATTTAAGTCAGCCAGAATCTCCTTAAGAGAGTTTCAGACACATTATTTGCTGAGTTTCCCCCACCCCACCCTGTGTGCTCTTCAAACATTTTCAAGGGAGTCGTGAAGTGCCTGAGCAAGTCTAAAAAGGGAAAGCCAGGAGTAGGTGTTCAGGTGCAAATCAAACATTCAGATTTGGCTTAGCACCAGCAATGATTGGATATGATGGTCCACAGAAAATCTGAGTAAAGGTTCAAAAATGTAGAAGCTTTTATGTAGTCCAAGGGTGGTGGGACCTGTGGCACTTTGGATATTGTTGGACTCCCAGCTCCAACAATCAAAAGAAGATCAGTCTCAGGCAGCAGGGTCAAGGGGCAGAGATGATACGAGTTGTAGTCAAGCTGTGTCTGGAGGACTACAGGATCCCCAACCCTGATCTAGGGAATCACAGAATCGTGGAACTATAGAGTTGGAAGGGACCATGAGGGTCTTCTAGTCCAGCCCCTGGAATGTAGGAATATTTTGCCCAACATGAGACTTGAACACACAACCCTGAGATTAAAAGCCTCATGCTCAACCAAATGAGCCACCCAGTGCCCTTACATTTTAAATGAGTTGACTCGGGCTGTACTAAAATGCATACAATGCTCCTTCCCGTGAGTTTTGGTGCAACCATTAATCATTGGAATGGCATAAGTATTACAGATCCAGACACAAATATCACCCAAAGTGTAAATTTCTTACCATCTCCATTCTCATCCACTAACTGAAATATCCTGTCCACAACTTCTTCTGGAGTGAGACGAGGTGTCCCTTGCTCTTCATCAGGCTGGCATACTTGCTTAAGCCTGTAAATAGACTGGAAGACAGAAAAACAACCATGGTTTTTAAAAAAATGAACAAACAAACACTTACTGGTAAGAGGAGACCAGAAAAGAAAGCAACTTAAGTTTCCGAGACAGAGATGCAGAAAAATCTAATGAATATTTTGCTCACATTTGTAATCTGGGGAAATAATCTGTGCATGTCAGGATCTGAGACATCAGGAAATGGCACAGCAAGAGACAGCATGTCAGATGGGGTGGACATACACCTCCACCTCCTCAGTTTCCTTTAGGTAAGTTCTGTTCATGGTCACTGAGTCAGAACCATCTTGAGGATTCGTATGTAAAGTCTCCCTGTCTGCTTTGCTGGGACTTCAGTGCAGTGTACCTTGCTTTCTCCTGTTGGTTGCACAAGGAAACATGCACCTGGGATGCTCTGAACAGAAAAACAGCTAGGAGGTGCTATTTGTAGCAGGAAGGGAGTGGGCAGCGAGAGAGGTTAAGGATTTACCGGTACCCCTTCTCTATCCATAGTTGCCCTTCCCAAAATGACTTTTCCAGATTGTGTTTGTTTGTTTTTTAACAAGACCACTAGGCTATTATGAGATGCAATCACATGTAATGTATATCATTTGACCCATGCTGGTCTAAATTATGATCTAAACAAAATGCATTGCAATGCTGTTCCTGAGCTCCTTTATTCAGTGCACTGGGGAGGAAACAAACCAAAGGCTTGCTTGCCATTATGTGCATGCCAATGCTCATGATTTGTTTTTCTCCCAAACAGCTCCTTTGGAAAGCTATGGTTTGTTTTAGGCTTACCATCATGGTTTGTTAAGAGAGACATGAACTATGAGTGCTGGTTCACACACAACAGCAAGCCAGCCTCTGTTTTTCTTCTTTCCCAGCACACAGAAGAAAGGAGCAGAGAGGAGAAGCATGCTGCTAATTCACATTAAACCATAACTTAATTTAAACAGCACAGTACTTTAATGTGGTGTGCAGATTGGTCTTTGCAAACATGACAAGTTGATGGAGCTGTTGTGTGATTAAGGACTAAGCTCAATGGCCTTTGATCACTTCCAACTCTGTAATCACCCATCCTCCTCTAAACCACATATTCTCTTTTTGAACACTACTTTTTCTTAGTCCTGTGCTTAGGATAGCAGTTCCATTCAAATGTAAGTGAAAATGTAACTTCTGTATAAAATAGAAATGGAATGTGTCATGTGACAAAGAGGTTGATAAAGATAGTGAGGAGCTTGGGGAACAAGACCTAAGAAGAAAGGTTGAAGGTGTTAGGTATGTTTAGCCCATGAAAGAGATGATTAAGAGGCTTTATTTATCATCATCATCATCAAATATTTGAAGGGTATTGCATAGATGATAGAGCAAATTTGAACTCTCTTGCTCCAGAGAGTATGAGCAGGTTCAAATTTAAATAAGGTATTTAGACTAAACATCGTATGTTGTTCAAAAGTGGGACAAACTGCCTTAGAAAGTGCTGGGCTCTTCTTTGTTAGTGGTTTTTAAAGCCAAGATTGGGTGGCCACTTATCAGGGGAGCTGGAGTAGTGGTTTTCCTGCCTTGGCAGGTGTTGGGAATACATTTGAAGTTCCTTCAAACTTCATGATTCTACATTCTGATGGGTTTGTGGGTTTTTGTGTTTTTTTGCAGTTTTGGGGATTCTGAGTCATGGCCTCTCTTTCCCTTCAGGCTTAAGAATTAGAATTCTCTTCTCCCCTCCTTGGTTTTCTTTACATCTTTCAACAAGGGCCAGGCATCTCACCAGACAATGGATTAGCCAGGGCATGACCCAGCTATGGCCAATTCTCTGCCGACCTTAAAACTGGGACTGTGAATCTGCCTAAAGCAGACCTCTTTGCTGGCACAGGTCATTGGCTGCTTATCTTCCTGATGCTTATGACTCACCAAAGGAATTATGGCTTTGTTTTACTTGAAGCAATTAACTACTGGATGCAGTTGGTCTTGGATACAGGAAAGAAAGAATGGCTAGTGTGATAAGTGGCTTAGTCCTGATTTCTCTCTCTATAATCCTTATTCTTACATATTTTAATGCTAGCTGAAGCAAGAAATTTTTCCAATAAATTTCCACTCACTCCTTTACACTGTTTGCTCTTTGTTATGTATGCCGTGTGTGTAAAAAGAGCTCCTCAGATCACATAGCATTGTTTTTCTTTTCTGGTATATATTACCAAAAACAACAACAACCTAGCTGCATTTTCTCCATTTGGATTGACACTGTTCTAATCTCCAGGGACCTTTACTTGTCCACTGTGAACATAAGAGGATGCTGGATCACTAAAATGTACAAATTACTATTGGAATGGCATCTAAAAGATGAAGAAGTCAAAGCAGTAATGATACATTGGGCTAAAGATATAGGGCATAATATACCAATAGATGATTGGGGGAGGTTATGGAGAGAGGGAATAAATTTTACTGCCTGCAGTGCATTAAAAGAAAATATAATGAAAATGATGTGTAGATGGTACGTAACACCAGTGAAACTAGCTAAAATGTATAAAACGAATAATAAATGTTGGAAATGTAAAGAAAAAGAGGGCACATTTTACCACATGTGGTGGGAATGCAAAAAAAGGGAAAGACTTCTGGGAAATGATCTATAATGAAAGCAAAAAAATGTTGAAATATACAATTCCAAAAAACCCAGAAGCTCTTTTACTGGGTTTGGTAGATACAGAAATTCATAAAAATGATAAAAAAAACTGTTTTTATATGTGACCACTGCAGCAAGAATACTATTAGCCCAAAGATGGAAGCAAGAAGAAATGCCAACAAAAGAAGAGTGGCAAATAAAATTGATGGACTACGTCGAGCTGGCAAGACTTACAGGGAAAATTCAAAACCAGCGGGAGCAGACTTTCCTAAAGGACTGGAAGAAATTTATATTGTATTTGAAAGACAACTGTAACTACCTAACATGGCTTGTAGGATTGCAAGAAGTTTTGTAAGGAGAGCTATTCAAATTATTGTGAGAAGTATTAAGATTAGTTGACGTACCGTAGATTCCGGCGTATAAGACAACTTTTTAACCCCGAAAAAGAGGTTAAAAAGTCGGGGCTCGTCTTATACGCTGGGTATGGATGGCGGGTGGCGGGCTCCGCACCGGGAGAGGGACCAGCCTTATAAGATGAACCCCCAAATTGCAGCTGCCAATTTGGGGGGGGGGGTCGTCTAATACGTCCAGTCGCCTAATACTCCGGAATCTACGGTAAGATTGGATTTAAAACAATAAGCATAGTAATAAAATGCACAATTAGAAAGGAATTCAGAAAACCATCAGAAGGGGTTGATGGAAGCCCTAGGCTATGATAGCCAAGGATTTGTTATGTAGTGTTGGAGGTGTTGTGTTGAAAAATTGCGTAAAACTTAATAAAAATTGTATTTAAAAAAGAGAGAGAGAAAGTGCTGGATCAGGCCAATGGCCCATCTAGTCCAGCATCCTGTTCTCACCGTGGTCAACCAGATGCCTATGGGAAGCCCACAAGCATGATCTGAGCACAACAGCACTCTTCCCACTTGTGAATGGAAACCGATTACCATCTCCAGCACTCTGTTCCTTCAGACTGTCTGGAATTCACTGCTATCTCTCAAGATTGTGTTGCAACCTCGTTCAAATACAGTGGTACCTTGGTTTGCAACCGCTTTGGATTACAACTGTTTTGGATTACAACCACATCAAGCCCAGAAGTGCGTTTCCCTTTTATTTGGATTACAACCCATTTTTTTAATTACAACCAATTTTGGGGGGGGGGAGGCCCCATTGGCGAAAGCACACCATGGGTTACAACCTGTTTTGGTTTACAATTGGACCTCCAGAAGAGATTATGGTTGTAAACCAAGGTACCACTGTACTTTCATCATGATCAGAAGCATTACAGGAAGGCCACTGCATCACATCCAACTTGTCAGTCTTTGATAATTTAGAAGCTGGATCCTTTCCTTGATATTGAAGCCCATTCCTTGTCACTACTCTTTCTGACCATGCACATAAAGTTAAGAAAGCATGACGTATGCATATTAACATGACAGACAAAAAAGTTAAGATTTTTACTTTTTACCGTCAATAATATCATTTGGAAAACCTCAGGGAAAGTGAACAGAGCAGAACAAAGGCACCATTTTTTAAAAATCAGATTTCAAAATCCCAGTCCGTTTCCAGGTCCAGGTCCAGTTAAAGTGCCAGTTTTAACCTTAAAGCCCTAAATGGGGTTGTCCAAAAGACCACATTCTCCCATGTGTATTTTCCCAAAAGCTTAACATTTTCATTGGAGGCTTTGCTCCTCCAGTGAGGGCCTTTTCAGTTGTGGCACCCTAGCTCTATAGTCTTTCCAGGGAGCCTTTCTGGCACCATCTTTGTGGCCTTTGAGGCACAAGAGGAAGATTCTGTTCACCCAGGTATTTAAAATAATCTATGTAGCCTGGACCAGGCTGAAATTCATACTCTGGGGGCTCCTACTGCAGCTTAATGGTGTGAGGGGGTCATTGCGGCATCTGCAGCCCTGATGCTCCCATGATGGGAGGAGGCAGGCAAATTGCTTTGGGTGATTGTATGATGGCTCTCCTTGGGAGTCCTCCGGGCAGCTGCTGCTGTAGCCCCTGATCTCTAAGCTTCCCTCCACCTCTGCTCCAAAGAGAGGCCTGGGAAGAGGATACCCCCAGCCTTAGTGGTCCAATGGAGAATAGCTAAAAGTGACCATGAGGCCAGCAGCTTACCTTGGGAGGCAGCTGTGGGCACTCAGTTCCCAGGAAGGCCTTGCACACAGCAAGCACAAGAAAGGCCACAGCAGCGCTTATCTGCCCAGCCTGCCAGCAGCAAGGGCTGGTGGACTGGCTGGCTGGGCTCCCTTGCCTGCTTGCTTGCTTACTCCGAGGCCACCTCAGCTTCTGGTAACCAGCACCCCCTGGCCAGCCTGAGAGGCACCATTCGCTTGCAGAGCTTGTAGCCAGGGCTGCTGCAACAAACAGCTGTGCAAGCCTTTCGGAGGCAGAGACATGAGAGGGGATCAAAGGAGGGAGGGAAAGAAAGAGGGGCAGAGGCCAGTGTTGCCCACGACACCACTGACCATCCTTCAAGGCACCCCAGGGTGCCACGGCACACTGGTTGAAAACCACTGCTGTAGGCAAAGACTGTCAGAATCAGGATACCCCCCTCCCAGCTAAATGGGATTTGGATTATGGTGCCCATTTTTCAATCTGTGTTTTAATTTTGAACGTATTTCTTTATATGTACCTTTTGTTTTTATGATTTCATGTCCTAGGTTGCATTTAAATTGTTTTGTTTTGTCTTATGTATTGTAAAAAAAAATGTTATACAAATGCTACAAATAAATGAAACAATTCAAGAGGGAAAGTGAGCAATCAACATCATAGGTCTCTCACTCACAGCAGCAGACCTAGTGTCATGACAGTGCCGGACACTAGGTTTCACATATCTCTATGGATGGCTGAAATGTCCCATTTTTGAGAAACCCTGCAGCAGTTCTTCAAGCAGGACTGGGTTTACAGAAGCTTCCAAACTCAAGTTATGAAATCTGACAGAGTGTCTGGCAGCAAATACTAAATTCCTACTCACCTCAACTATTTCTAAGAGCTCAGGTTTGTCTATGCAGCCGTTGCCATCCTTATCATATATTTTGAACGTCCACCTCAGTTTGTGTTCCAACTTCCCTCGTAAAACAAGATTCAGAGCAGCCACATATTCTAGGAAATCAATGGTGTTGTCCTGTGGATTAAAAAACATGGAGGGGTTAATTTGGAAAGGGTGAAGCAAAATGTAGAGCGAACTTGTCAAAAAGATCTTAAACTAATGGAAATGGAGTTAGAATGATGGCTGCATGCCATAATTTCAATTCCCTGATGAAATCTAAACGTAGTCATTATGATATTTACTCATGTGCTATCTACTTTTGTTTTCTCCTATAACCTTTGGCTGACGTAATTAATCAATGTAATCTTAAAATCTCTTAGATTATCATTACCAACCAGTTGTGCCTTACGTCAGGTTTCTATATTTCCAAAAGGCATCCATTCTTCACTTAGTGCTTTGTCCCAGGAAGCATTTGTGCACCTTGAATCCTAATTGCAAGAAGTCTTTGTGGTAAAGTCTTTCCTGAGGCCAGATCCCATCTCCATTTCTGGAGGCAGCAGCTGCCCAACATTTTGTAGCAAAAATACATCTTATGTTATCAAGCACACTACCTTGTGCAGAATCCTGTCATCAAATGAAGTTATCAAGTACATTTCTTCATGCTTGGTACCATGTGTCTGCATGCACACACGTTTATCCACACACCAGGTCTTATTATTGTGTCTAGCATATGTTATCTTCTGACTTGTTTTCAGTCTTAGGATAGAGGGAGAAAGCTGGAACCCTTCACTACATTAAATGCAGGCTGTAGCAGTAGGCTTTATTTGGGTTATTTGTAAAGGTCTCTTAGAGAGAGCCTATGTGCATAAAGAAGCATGTGTGGTCACCACCCCTGGTGTAACGTAAAAGATTCTTCACATTTGAATCAGGATGTCTTCCCACTTTTTGTGTGTGTGCTATATTCCAAATGTTCAGCATGGCTACAATGCTTTGCCAGCTATTTAATGGCTGACAGAAGGCAATATTTATTGCCTTCCTACTGAGAAGAGAAGACTCCCTGGAAAAGACCCTGGTGTTGGGAAAGATTGAGGGCACAAGGAGAAGGGGACGACAGAGGACAAGATGGTTGGACAATGTTCTCAAAGCTACTAACATGAGTTTGACCAAACAGCGGGAGGCAGTGGAAGACAGGAGTGCCTGGCGTGCTCTGGTCCATGGGGTCACGAAGAGTTGGACACAACTAAAACACTAAACAACAACACTGTGTTTCACTCTCACAAGCTTCATTCTTACCTAATGGTTTTTTTGTTTTTTGTTAAAGACTATATATTGTTTGAAAACTTACTTTAAAAGGTGGGGGGGAACCTTTGGAGTTGAAAGAGTAGTTTCTACTCTTCCCACTGATGCTGTGATACAACCTATTTCAGGACAATCTAGTCTAAAGAGTTCCTTGGGTGTGGCAGTAACCCTGCAATGGGTGATCCAATGTCTAAGTATTTAAGTTTTAGATTCTAACAAGGATAATTTGAAGATCTTTTAAAATTGATTCTTATCACAAAACTCAGCTAATAAAAAGTGACTTTAATTACATTTGAATTTTGAAAATAGTTGCGGATTAGATCTTTAATCTCAGAACACAGCAGACACTAGTGGTTTCTGTGGAAGTGTGCAACGATTCCAAATGGTGCAATCGTCTTTTGTATATTTGAAACAACAGATGTGGACTTGGGCTATGTGCAAACTATACCTTAAAAGCACATTTGAGCACATTCTTTCCATTTAAAGAATTCTGGACACTACAGTTTTCTCTCACAGAGTGAAAATTCCTAGCAACCCTTAACAAACTACGATGCTCAGATTTCTTCTTCTTAAAAGTATAGTGTGTGGTACACAACCTTAGCATTTTTATACCATATTGTCACTGGCATTCTGTCCTCCTTGCTCCTGTGTGGCCGTGCTGAGGTCATGTTTCCATTGTTTATCTAATCCTATATGAAGTGTATAATCCCTGCTTACTCTTTTGACTTTCTTTTCCTTACTTGGCATATCTTCTTGACTTTTGACCCTGCACTATTGACACCTAGTTTCCTTGATCTATATAAACCTGATTTGACTTCACTATCTTGATCCTCTTCTGGTGCTGATACACAACTTTGCTTCCCATGTCTGACTTTCTGGCTCATATTTTGATGTCAGTTTCCACATCCCTCTCCCTACACAGAGTACCAAACACCTGACACCATATTCTATATTGACAAGTACATGAACTGCCTGCATGGATTAGTTGACCTGAATGGCTACATAAATGGAGAGTTATTCTCAAGAATCTTCTCCTCCAAAGGTTCCATTCAGACAGAAACTGAATCGGTTCATTCAGATGGCACTGAGTGCTGCAAAAAGGGGCACCCTATTTTTTAAAGCAAGACTATGGCGCCAATTTGAGTGCTGCTCTCTCTTGCACTCTCGCCCTGAAAAAGCACTTTTTTTCCAGGGCAAGATTGCAATGCAGGTCACTTGACTCACCTGGGAGCATGTTGCAGAAGACGCGTGTCCTGGTTTTTGAAATGAAAAAGTTGGACGGCGTGCTGTGTTTTAGAAACACTTCGTACAATTATTTGTTTGTATTAACATGTTAGATAGAAATCACAGAATGCATATGCTATATTTAAAACCACAGGTTCTGCCATTGGAGGACACTATGTAAATACAATAGTACCTCTGGTTATGAACTTAATTCGTTCTGGAGGTCCATTCTTAAGCTGAAATCGTCCTTATCCTGAGGCGCACTTTCGCTAATGGGGATTCCCGCTGCGCACGTGCCTCTGGCACGCGATTTCTGTCCGCATCCTGGGGCAAAGCTTGCAACCAGAAGCAGCTACTTCTGGGTTAGTGGAGCTCGTAACCTGAAGCGTTCATAACAAGAGGTGTTCATAACCAGAGGTACCACTGTACAGAATATAGTGCCTTTTTCTTTGGTTTTAAAGAAGCACTGAAAGTTTGAAAACAAATGTATTTTTGCTTATTCTAAATCTTAATTCGCCCTCTGCTTGTCAGCTTCAAATGTAGCCTCCATTTTTGTTTGTCTTAATCCGGCCCCAAGCATTGGGAAAATATTGTAGAACTAATGATAAATCAAAATGAATCCATCACCAACGCACTATTATTTTGTCAAGGATATGTTGCAGAATACACCTGTAATAAAACTCCTAAAGATAGGAGGTGCCTACAATCTCTATGTCTGGCTTTCCTGTTCTTGTCCTGCATACCATTTAACTATACTGAACAGGAACAATGGACAGTATCCTCCTTCTCAAAGCCAGTCTTTGGCATCCTGACTGAAGAAGAGAGCAGGAATCATTCTTGACAGAATCAGGCTTTGTGAGATAAGGATTAGAATAAGTAGGGTAGGCAGTGTAGCTGCTGTAGCACCCTCCATAACTAGTCGTCAGACTGTTTTTGGTTTTAGTTTTTCATTACATCCACGCAGCTCTCTGTACGGCACAATCTTTATTTAAATTTGTATATGGTCAAATCTGATTGAAGCCAACTTCCCTCAAGAAAAAAAGTTATAGAAGCTTGCTTTTCCAGTTCTTAAGCGTTGTAGGAGCTTGCTCTTCCAGTTTCTTAATTGTGAGCCATGCAGTGATAGGTCTGCTACAGCTTCAATTAGCTGGGCTTGATCTTCCTGCCATTAAGATGTATGTGAACTGACCTCAGGGCTGAACATATACTTATGCTAGGTAGACCATGATGTCCTGTCAGTCATACAATGTTCTCAAAACTGGAGCATACACCTAAGATTTTGCCAACCCCCGGAGCTTCCATTTACTATGAGAAATAGCAGAAATCGGCCACTAACACCCTTAAGTGTCTTTACAAAGCTTAAAGTGATTGCCAGCCCAGTCTAATGGGTAAGGCTTAAGCTAGAGGGGTGCGAGCAATAAATTCCTCTGCAGTCCCCAAAGTGCATTTCATCATATTTCTTCAGATAGAATACACTGCTTTCATTGCTGTCAGCTTTGAGCAGTGCACCTCTGTGCTCTCCTTGATTCCTATGGGAATTTTTCTGCCTCTATTCCCGAAGCCGGGGGACGCGGGTGGCGCTGTGGGTAAAAGCCTCAGCGCCTAGGGCTTGCTGATCGAAAGGTCGGCGGTTCGAATCCCCGTGGCGGGGTGCGCTCCCGTTGTTCAGTCCCAGCGCCTGCCAACCTAGCAGTTCGAAAGCACTCCCGGGTGCAAGTAGATAAATAGGGACCGCTTACTGGCGGGAAGGTAAACGGCGTTTCCGTGTGTGGCTCTGGCTCACCAGAGCAGCGATGTCACGCTGGCCACGTGACCCGGAAGTGTCTCCGGACAGCGCTGGCCCCCGACCTCTTGAGTGAGATGGGCGCACAACCCTAGAGTCTGTCAAGACTGGCCCGTACGGGCAGGGGTACCTTTACCTTTATTCCCGAAGCCAATGTCTCACGGCTGGCCCAGAGGCACTTAATACAGAACTGTATGGAAATTCTTGCACTGCAAGCCAGTTCGAGCTGATACCAACACTGAAACAATCAGATCAAATTCTACTACTCTTAAGAGTGGAGCACTTTTTTATAAGATCAGGCCATGCAAAAGCCTATACTCCCATTCATCTCTCTCTTGAGGTCTGTTCACTTTTTATATTTCAGTGGCGCCTGCCCTGTGGAACGCCCTCCCAGCAGATGTCAAGGCAATAAACAACTATTTTACTTTTCAAAGACAACTGAAGGCAGCCCTTTTTAGGGAAGTTTTTAATGTCTAATGCTGTATTGTTTTTAATATTCAGTTGGAAGCCGCCCAGAGTGGCTGGGGAAACCCAGCCACATGGGCGGGATATAAATAATAAATTATTATTATTATTATTATTATTATTATTATTATTATTATTATTATTAAGCTGGTATGAAAGATGGCATCCAACAATGCAGCTCTGCTGGCACAACAGATTTCTATGAGCACACAGATCTTGTGCTCAGGTGTCACTTGAGAATCTGTTTGACTACTGTGAGGACAGGATTCTGGACTAGATGGGCCATTGGCCTGGTCCAGCAAGCTCTTCTTATTCTCTTAACGTCTTCTTCCTCTCCTCCAGCCTTTGTGCAGCCTCGAAATCAGCTCTGGAGAACTGGGGGCAACTAAGAAGCAACTCCTGCAGCCAAGCTGGTGCCAAACGTATTGCTCTGCTTTCCTTTGGAGCACATCAGCAAAGCCAAGAGGTGGGAGTCTTGTTGTCTGGACAGCTCAGGACCTCCACACACACTGCCCAGGCTTGCGCCTCAAGGAGGTCACTTCAGTGCTGCTAATATAGCAAAAACAATGCAGGAGGCAGCAGTTACGAGTTACCAGTCTCTGCAGCCACAGCAGGTGCTGTGAATCTCCAGTGGCTTGACTTCACCTTGGAGGCACACTCCATTGTTTCCTGAGACGGGCAGCATAGCTGTCAACTTTTCCCTTTTCTTGCCAGGAATCCTATTCGGAATAAGGGAATTTCCCTTTAAAAAAGGGGAAAGTTGACAGCTATGACGGGCAGATGCCAACAAAAACAATCGATGGTATCCAATTGCATATGCATATTTCTTTCCCCTCTGCTCTTACTCTTGCTGTGAATTAGTTAAAGCTTGCATTCAGTATATGCAGTTGTACAATGTCAAACTAAAAAACACCCAACATACAAAATGCAAATCCTAGAATATTCTTCCTAAGGACATTTACCTCTCAACTGTGTTATCCATTTGAAACCTGTTGCCCTGAATTGGTGCTTTCCTGCTGGAAATTTCCCTTGCCATCAAAGCACATGATAATTATGTGTTGGAAGTAACAGGAGTTGGGCATGGTCTCCCACTAAGCTTTACTCAGCGAGTAGACCCATTTAAATTAATGAACACGGCTGAGTTAGACCTATTAATTTCAGCAAGTCTACCCGGAGTAGAATTTAGTTGATGACTACACCTCATTTTTAATTAATTGAGCTGGTTTTGTGATTAGTTTAATTCACTCCCACACTGCAACTCAGCCCATCTAAGTTGAAACTTCTCAGAACGTGTTGAGTCACAACTTGGATACAAGCTGCATCTTTCATATGTCCAGTTCAACACAATGCACTCCTTCTATGTCTATATAGTGGTACCTTGGTTTAAGAACAGCTTAGTTTACGAACAACTTGGATTAAGAACGCTGCAAACCCGGAAGTAGGTGTTTTGGTTTGTGAACTTTGCCTTGGAAGCAGAACATGTTCCGCTTCCTGTTGAGTGTGTTCCATTTGTAAATTGAGTTCCCCACTGCAATGGGGAAGCACGCCTTGGTTTAAGAATGCTTTGGTTTTAAGAACGGATTTTCAGAACAGATTAAGTTTGTAAACCAAGGTACCACTGTATAGTGCTTCTCTTCCTGGAACAGGGAAAATGAAGTTAAACTGATATGAATTACCATGACATTTACAAGAAGTGTGTAAGATAGGTATGGAGGTTGGCTAAAAAATATCTTCAGTATTTGATCTGTACTTGAACAATAATAAAAATGTTTACAGGAATTTCAACAACAAAATGATGTTCTGGCTACCGATTCTTTGTTATTTACAAAACGACTTGTCCTAGTGGTGCAGCAATAAAACCATTAGCAGATCTGCAAAGCTAAGCAGGGTCCAGTATGATTTCAAATTGGATTGGGGGGGGGGGCTGCGTGTTGATATTCCTGCATTGCAGGGGGTTGGACTAGATGACCCGTGGGATCCCTTCCAACTCTACAATTCTATGATTTTATGATCTAAGGCCACTAAGTCAGCAGAGTTCCTTCCTCTCGCTGATGTTTAGAACATAGTCAAGGGACATCTTATGTAACAATAGTCAGTGTGACCTTGCAGTGACTGCTATAAATCAGTGCACCAAAACCACTCTCCTTCCACTGTGCAGTGACAACAGGCTGTTTCATCAGAAAATCATTTCACTACCCAGATAAATGATTATCATAAAAATATTAAAGCTATATTAACGGCTACAATTGAGAGAACCCCTTTAAATGTGTCCAGCTTTGTTTTCCTGAAGGTTGTTCACTGTGTATCGTCTTGAATCTGATGTACATTTCACAAGTCTTTAGACAAGAGTGTAAAATGTAGGTTCCTAGAATCTGACAGATAAATCTAAGGTTCAAAGAACCCAATTTTGGGGTGGGGTTGGGCTGGAGGGAATACTGAACAAAATTAAATTTTATTGGTTAACTCTCTGTCAAGTTCTGGAAATTATTACCCACCTCCTGCAAGTTTGGCGCATCAGTAACTCCTCTGAACAAATAACACTTAACAAATAAGGTCTAGTCCAAAGGAAAAATCCACATTTAAGGTGCTTCCAGAGTGTTGCAATTTTGGGGTGGGATGCAATCACATACCAGAAAATTCAGGTTGTGCAATTAAAGTTGATTTGGAGGTCTTGCGCAACATATCCACTTCCTAAAAAGATCCGGAAAGTGACAGGCAAATAAAATGGGGAGTGTGGAGTAACCCATGTGTGGTGCAATGAATGCTCAGTAAATATCCAACATTGTTTAACCTCCCTGAAAAGAAATCCAGAAGTTGGTTCAATAAGCAAGTTGTCTGGAAGCTGCCTCAGAAAAGAATGGAAAGTGACTTTTCTTCTTTGAATATAAATCTAAATTAAATCAAATCAAAAGCTTTTTAAAACAGCAAATGCTGGAATAATGCTTACCCCATTCTTATCAAAAGCTCTGAACATGTTCTCCACGTATTCCGCTGCCTCCTGATTATCCTGTACTCCGAAGAATCGCTTGAATTCATGCATGAAAAGAGTCCCGCTGGGACATTCCACCACAAACTTCTTATACCATTCCTGCAGTTCAGCCACATCAATCTCAACTTGTTCCCCCTCCTCATTTGTTAAGCGTTGTCCCATGTTGTTTCACGAAAGGGAAGTGGTGGGATTTTCCCCTTTCTCCTCTTTCAGCTTGGTATTTTCTTTCTTGAATAACTTTTAAAAAAACTTACAATGTGAGTTTTCTTTTTCTTGCTTTGGTGAATATTGCACGATTATGCTGGGCTGCTTCTCCTTAGCATTTTCCCTCTTCTTTTTACCCGTCTTCCATGCAGCGGCTACTCAGCCTTCCAGTGTCATTCTCATACAAGCGCAACTGGGAGTGGATCCCCTGAGTTAATCCAGCACAAGATAAGAAAGTATAAGAACATTAGGAGATTCCCCCATACACGTCACAGAGACCTTCAGAGGTCTCAGGTCAATGTCTCATTTAGAAGTGTTTCCCAAGTAAGGTCACTGGGGTCTCTGATGCCAGTCTAAAGACCTGAAAGCTCCCCGTTCAGACTATTTATAACACTTTTCTGAATGATTCTGCGTTTGGAACATATCAAACCTATTGCAGGTGTTCTCAGTTGTCGTCACAAATACAGGTGAATGGGGTTGCTTCTCTTAAATCACATTAAACAACAACAAAGAAAGATTAAATGTAAAACACCATTATCTATACGTGGACCCAACATTGCTGTGGATGCAAATTTATAGTGTATCTCCTACTGTCTCTGTTCTATGAATCACGATGTAACTATGTACTTCTGAAAATCAATTGTCATTTTCAAATGTATGCAAATCCCTTTTCGAGTGTATGTAAGTAAACTAAATAAAAAAACCAGAAACATTTTGCATTCTTCTTACAAATGAGCATTTTGCTTTGAGCTCCTTAGTAGAACTTCAGGGCTAAAAGTATTATCATACCTGACAGCTCTATGGATACAGAAATGACTCCCCTTCCCATAAAATCGCCTATATGCCTGAGTGAAACAAATCCTCGTCAAAGTAAAATCTGAATGGGTATATTTTATAGCAAACAAAAATCAAACTTTTATAGGGAAATATTACAAGTACACATTTACTGTTTTATTTATTCAGTATTTTTCATGTCATCCTTTCTCCAAGGAGTACAGCCTCCATGGCCCTCCTAATTTATTCTGATAACAACCCTGTGAGGGAGGTCAGGCTGAATTGTAATAGCTTGGCTGGCACGGTTTGCTTAGTGGCTGAACAAGGATTCAAACTCAGGTCTCTGCAGTCCATGCCCAACACATTTTCCAATACACCATAGTGGCTTTAACAGTTGCTGTAAGGCCTTATCCACACATATCTTTCCTCCACTCTTTCCAGACATGGCCCACAACTTAATGCTCTGTGTCTCCATTTTGAGGAGCTTTCCCCACAAAAACCTGCTCTTAAAAGCTCACATGGAGCAAACGACAATCGAAGGAAACCTCGAATTGGTGTTTGCTTTGATTCAGCTTTAAAGAGCGGGTTTTCGCAGGGAAAGCTTGGGGCAAAAAGAAAAGCACTTGGGCACAGAGCGTTAAAGCCCGGACCAGTATCTGGAAAGAGCAGGGCAAAAGATAAGTGTGGATAAGCCACAAGCCTGTGCAACTCTCTGACAACCTTATGCGGCATTTTGGATCTGTTGGTTTGCATGAAATACTTCTGCGCAGCTTCTGCTCAGTTGTGTCTGCTCTGCTCCCAAATTCCTGAGGGTTTTGTCAAAAAGTTGGGGGCTGCGGGAAGCCACATCAGATTTATAAAGACAATGATGACCAGGAATATGATTATTATTACTCTTATGAGTTTGTGGGTGGAGTAGGTCGAGATCCTTCTAACCCCTGGATCCAGCAAGTGTTAAAATAAATGAGATTTGCATATAAAAGATTTATCAAACACACATTTTTATTATTAAGTTCATGATTACTGTTACAAAGTGCTTAAAATGGTCAAGTGCTGTACAGATAATAAAGGAATCCTAATAATATGAACCTTAATGCAGAGAAATTTCAGAAATGAAAACAAAAAATGGGCAGTAGAGTATTAGTTCAAAGGAAAGGACCCCTGTCTCTATAAATGACCCTTTAAAAACAAAGCCATTGTTACTCTGGGTTATCCAAGACCAAATCTATGTTGTTATGTTATCTGGAAACAAATGACCTGTGGCTATAAATGTACTTGATCTCTCCTGATAAGCAGGCAGGATTCCATTCTAAGAGGATTGGTACAGTGTTAATAGGAAACAATAGTCTCTGCTGTAATAATAGTAAGGCACTGATGATTAAAAGGGGTCATCTACAGAGCAGGTCATTTTACATAAAAACAAGCTAATAAAAAACACCCTCTACAATCAATCAATCAATCAATCAATCAATCATATCTACACAAATATGTGGCTAGTTAGATTACATCAGTATCAGGTAGCCGTGTTGGTCTGATGCAGTCGAACTAAGTTTCTTCTTGGTATAAGCTTTCGTGTGCATGTAAGTGGGTATCTTTGTATAAGTGGGTATCTGAAGAAGTATGCATGCACACGGAAGCTTATACCAAGAACAAACTTAGTTGGTCTCTAAGGTGCTACTGGACAATTTTATTTATTTATTTTATATATTTCATCAGTATCAGGCATTTGCCTTTATAAATCATGTTAAACACAAACTGGGAAGGTGGGTGGTACAGATACTTTAAAATAAATAAATGCTTAAACCAATTCTGCTCCTCCTGTTTTGTTCAGTTCTTTCTCCCTTCTCTACTCCTTCCTCCTTTGGGAGGAAAAGTGGGATAGAAATGTAAGAAGAAATAAATAAAAACCCAGCATATAAAGCTTGCTTGCTCGAGAATGTCCCTGGTGCTATCGGTGGAGAGCCTTCCTGTTCCCCAGTGCTGTGCTTCCTTCTCCCTTTTAAAGCTCTGATTCACTTCATAGAGCCAACTCTGCCTTATAAAGATCTGTGTCTGTGCAAATAATCCAAATGAGATGGGTCACACTCATGCCTTCATGACCCTCTCTCATGCAGATATGACCACAACATTAATACACTAATGTAGTAATATTTGAAGCCTCTCCACTGTTTTACTAGTAGTATAGCATTTGTTTAGTATTTTTATTATCTTTACAAAACAGTGCACTGTAATTATATCAAGACTTTATAAGTGGATAAAGTCTTGATATAAGCGTACTAAGACCTGTTACTTTCTGCTGTTCTGTTGTCTGTGAAACTGCTGTGTTTTGAAATTTAGCTACTAAGAATGTGCAACAGGATTCCACATGCCCAGATTCTTATCGCATCACTTTGTTTTGCACCTCTCGGATTCTACTTATTTCTTCCCAGGTAGGTAGAAGAGTGCTGCTGCATTCACTTTGAAAAATATATCAGAAGGAATGAACTGGGTTTCCTGAATCGGGCAGCTGGTCTTTTTAAATGCTTGTGTAGGCATTAGATTGAACATTCTTGCAGTTACTAGTCGGGATCCTTTATCCTGTGAACGGTTTTTTCCTCCCTACAGCTTTGTAGAACAGTTTTGGATTATGATAATCCACTGAATTTGTTCCACTGTCATTTCAGCGCAGGAACTAGATGTAAAAAGAAGTCACCATCAGGACAGATAGATGCACATATAACAAAACAAAAATGGGGCACAGGAATGTAAAATGTTTATCATTTCCTTGTAGTGGAGATTATTCAAGTAGCAGGAGTAATAGGAGCTGCAGAAGGAGAAGCTGTAGTAAAAGGAAGATTAGCTACAGGGAGTAGCGAGCCTTGTTCTTTAGCTTGCTTACCTGTTTGTGGCAGCCCTACAGAAGATGTTTTTGCTCAGAAAGCTCCTGCTGAGAGTCCTGTCACTGACCTGACTCCAACAGCCCTGTTTCACTGGACTTTTGTTCATTGGTTGCTGCTAGCAGGTTCTTTTGAGAAGCTTAGAAGCTGAGGACACCCCACTCAAGTCATAACTATTTCAGATATCTGAGGAACTATGTGGGAAGCAGCGAGAACATCATGGGGTGCATGTGGTGCACTGTGCAGAAAGTGGTCTATGAAGCCATGCCCCCCTACAGTGCAGTTCTTCATATGTTTAAGGTAAAGGTAAAGGTACCCCTGCCCGTACGGGCCAGTCTTGACAGACTCTGGGGTTGTGCGCCCATCTCACTCAAGAAGCCGGGGGCCAGCGCTGTCCGCAGACACTTCCGGGTCACGTGGCCAGCGTGACAAAGCTGCATCTGGCGAGCCGGCGCAGCACACGGAATGCCGTTTACCTTCCCGCCAGTAAGCGGTCCCTATTTATCTACTTGCACCTGGGGGTGCTTTCGAACTGCTAGGTTGGCAGGCGCTGGGATCGAGCAGCGGGAGCGCACCCCGCCGCGGGGATTCGAACCGCCGACCTTTTGATCGGCAAGCCCTAGGTGCTGAGGCTTTTACCCACAGCGCCACCCGCGTCCCCCTCTTCATATGTTTACTCAGAAGTAAATCATATTATTTGCCTTTATTCCCAAAAGAACATATGCCAAGCACCACTAGATCAGACCAGAGGCCCATCTAGCCCAGCTGTCTGCTCTTACAGCAGCCAACCAGATGCCCAGGGGAAACCTGCAAGCAAGACCTGAGGGCAACAGCACTCCCCCATTGGTGGTTTCCAGCACCTAGTATTCAGAGGCACTGCCTCCAAAACTGGAGGTAGTAGATAGCCATCATGACTGATAGCTATTGATAACCTAATCCTTCCTGAAAGTGTTCTTGAGATTGCAACCTACAGGGCAATTCAACATGTTTAATGAAAAGCAAGCTTCATTGAGTTCAGTGGGGTTTAGGTTGCTTCCGGATGACCTGCTTATTAAGCAGTCATTCTGATTTGTTTGCAGGGAGATTAGATGACATCATGTCAAGTAAGTGTTATTCCACACTTTCAAGCGCATTTCTCGATCACTTTCCTTATTGCAAAAAGCACACTTACCGTATTTTAGGGATGTGTGTTTGCTATGCAAAAGCTTTAATTGCTCAATCTGAATTTGCCAGTGTGTGACTGAAACTCACTCCAAAATAGCAATGGTCTGGAAGTACCCTTACTCCTATATAAAGATTGCATCCAGAGTTGCTGTGGAAAGAGTTACAGCCTTGGATTCA